TGTATTAATAAACATTATTAATCATAATATAAAATAATTTATACTAACAATAAATCTAAATTAAATATTTTTCTTTCTCTCACACAATTATAAATTATTAACTACAACTTTAAACCTGAATTTAAGTACTTAATAATATTATTAAAAATATTTATCACACTTTAAATTTTAATATAATAAATATATATTTTTAATTAAAATATATTATTTTTAGATATTTAAATTTAATTTTCAAATAAAAATTAATGAAATTTATATAATAATATAATAAAAACAAATTATTTGATAAATTACAACACAATTACAAATTTATACACTAACAAAGTTATTTTATTACTATCAAATATATATTATGATAATATATAATTTTATTAAATAATATATTTAATAAATTTGGAACGATGGAATTACACATTGCACATCTTTGCAATTAACTTTATACATGAGACAATTTTAATTTATTCTTCTATATCAAATTACAAAATAATTAAAAATAATAATTGAACAACATTAAATTATAATTTATATTTATAATTTAACATATTAATAATAATATTTATATTTAATATTGTGTAAATTTTATAAGAGAAGTTTTAAAAAAAATAAAATAATGGATAAAGTTTGGTGATCGCAATTTCAAATTTTTTTATATTCAAATAATGGTGTTGGTTATTTTAAAAAGTTTTTCTTTTCCTACTTTGAACTCTCCCTTAAGAATTAGCCTTTGACATATTCCAACTTTGAATGATGAAGCTAGACTAGTTTTCACTACCCTAATATCTAAGGATAAAGTTAAATATATTATTATGTGTATAAAATTCTTTAAGGCATGAGGACTAGATATATTTTAGTCTTACTTCTTTAAGAAGTATTGGCATATTGTGAGTGATGACGCTTAAAAATTTATTAGAGATAAATGTACTAATATTATGTCTTTGCAATGTTATCTTCAAAATCATATCCAAAGTGTTGGTGCATAGACTTTGTCCTTTTCTTAAATAATCTCATTAGTCTGTACCAGAGTAACTTTCTTCTTTGAAAGGGTACTTATGATGATACAATAATAGTTAAAGAAATTATTCATCACATGTATAAATTTAAGGTAAAAAAAAGTTGTTTGGTATTCAAAGTTGATCCTTAGAAAACCTATGACAGCTTCAGTTGAAATTTTTTACAATGTGTTCTTGAAGATTTTAGTCTCCCACGTGTCATCATATCTCTTGTTATGTGGTGTGTGAGCACCTTATCATTATCTATTATCTACTAAACCTTTATCTCTAGTGAAGGGACTTTGGCAAAGTGATTTAATGTCACCTTACTTGTTTGCTCTTTGTATGAAAAAGTTATTCTTATATATTTAGTAGTTAGTGAAAGATAATATTTGGCAACCTATTAGACTAGCTAGAGGTGAGCCAAAGCTCTCTCATCTTTTATTTACTGATTATGTATATTATTTTTTAGGGCTTCAAGAACTCAAACAAGATACTAATCACTTCATCAATTTTGTATGAAGTTTGGTTTGAGGATTAACTTTGATAAATATATACTTATGTGCTTACTAGATATCTTAAGAAATGATAGACAAGCTTTTCAAACCATCTCCTATCAAGGTTGTTAAGGACATTGGAAAGTGTTTTGACTTCTCCATTTTGCATGGTTGTAATAGGAGGAACACCTTCAACCATATTATTGAAAGGGTTAATAAAGGGTGTTAAATAAAGTTGGGCAAATTTTTTAGTAAAATCTATTCTTAGTTATATTCTCATTTATTTCATGCAAGTTTTTTTGGTTACCTAGAAGAATTCACTGTGAAATTGATAAGATTTTGAGAAGGTTTATTTAAGGACACAATGTTGACCAAAGAGGTTGGCACAAAGTTTCTTGGAATATTCTAACAACAGATAAATGATCTAGAGGTCTTAGAATTAGAGATAGCATAACAACTAACACAACTTTCCTAAGAAAACTTGTGTGGGATATCCTCATCAATATAGATAAATTGTAGTGTCAAGTCTTATCTCACAAGTGTCTTAATAATGGATTCATTCTTAATGCTTCAATGGATAACAATGCCTCCTACATATGGCGTGGAGTGATTAAAGCAAAGAATTTACTTAAGGAGGGCTTCTTTTTCTTATTAGGGGATGGTATGACTTCCTTTTGGTTTGTAAATTGCCTTGGTTATGGACCATTATGTCAACTAGTAGACTATATTCATGTTTTTTTTATACATGATTTTGTCTCAAGAATATCATTTATAGTGGCACTTGAAAATTTTCTATATTACATACAATTTTATCTCAATATTTGCATGACTTAATTTGTCAAATCCCCTTCACACTCATTGCATCATTGCAATATTGTTGGTATTAGAAGTTTGGGAAAGAAGGCAATTATTCAACAACCTCGAGTTATGTTTGGCTTAATAGTCATTGTCATTTCCAACCCACTACACACATTTGGAAATGGCTTGGAAACTTCAAATTTCTAAGAATTTTATTTCTTTGGCAAACTTTGCATGATCTACCAACAATAAGTTACACTATTCTTCTAGTTACCCTCAATGTTTTTACTCTAAGGATGATTTTCTCTACTATCTTACAGAAGTATGACTAACGATTGGACTTTGGGAGACAATGTCATTTATTTAGTAGTGTAAGTTCTTGGTTGTCTAGAAGTGCTTCTTCTAAATAATGAATTCTTTTTTTATTAATAGTCTAATGGCTTCAGCATTAAAGGAGTAATTATATTTTTCAAAGCAAAAATTGATTGATCTAAGAAATTTTGCATAAAACTTGCCTATTGCATGATGAATCAATATTTATCTTTTTAATAAAACTTATAGCAAAAATGATATACATAATTGATATTTGAAAACCTTCTAAGGATGACATTATTAAACTCAATGTGGATGACAATTTTGCTCCACACACGGATCAAATGAGCTTAGGATGAGTCTTTAAATATTCTAATTAGAATTGATTTTTGGATTTTAATAATTTTCATGGACATGATGACTCAACCTTAGCTGAAGTTCGTACTATGTTAAATGGCTTGAAACTCTAACAACTATAACAATTTGGTCTCTTAGAGTGAATGCAAAGAAAGAGGTTGTAAATATCATTTATTTTGATTTGATATCTTGTTGTCATTCTTATGCTCATATAATTTTAGATATTTTTAACTTGATCTACCGATCTTGAAATGTGAAAATTTTATTTGTTCATTGTGAAGTTAATCGAGTTGCGAATAATTTAGCTCATATAATTATCTATAAAATAATTTTATTTTTTAACACTTATTATATGTCTTTGTAGTCTTGTTTTATTTTATTTCTAATTAATAAAAAAATAATTATATAAAATAATAAACTCAAATAATTTTATATTTTAAATGTTGAAATTTATAACTAACATTTTAAAATTTGTCAATTCCACTGTTTAAAATAGAAAATGTGCTTAATTGAAAAACAAAAAGTGTCATTATTTTTTTCTATAAATATTTGTATTTATATAATTAAAGGCTATAGCACAATTATTTAAGATATTGTCTTTCATATATTAAGTTTGAATTTGAGACACTGTTTAAAGAAAATCAACCATATATATTGCTCGAATAATCTCAAATGGTCGTATAAAAAGAATTTGTTATTAATTATTGTCGTAATCACTACAAATAAAATAATTTCTTTAGATTTTGGGACAGGGCTAGTATCAAACAATAACAAAAATGAAAATTTAGGAGGAAACAGCGGAACACAGCTAAACTACATAATTGAAGTCCTTGTTGCTAAACAGCAATATAAATGATTTTGTTATTTTATAGCTACTTGAATAAGTGTAAAAAAAAATCTTAAATATTGCATGTAAGCTTAACGATGTTTGCGCCTTTCTTGTCTATAATTTTCTACTGACTTGGGAGGAGGGGATTTCGAATTGAAAATTGTTTGATAAATATTTTCGAAGTATTTATATATAGAGAGAAATAAAAAAAAAATATAATAAGTAATGAAATATATTAACAAAGAAAATAAAAAATATCAATTAGATAGTGATATCAATTATAAACCAGAATTGCTTCGAATCTCATAAGTTACTTTTAAAATTTCTCATTGTGATTTTAATATGGTTCTATGAGTTTATTTTTGTACGAGTTATTTTAGAATTTATCTGAATATTTTTTGAAAATATATTAAAATTTATGACAGATGAAAGATGAGAATATGAAAAAATAAATGATCATAATTCTATGGTTAAAATAAATAGTTAAAGTTATAATTAATTTAAACAATCTTAATATTTGATATATGGTCAGTTAAAATTAACTCGTATCGCCTCTCGTCCTTAATTAGCCTGAGGTGCTGCTGCACTGGATAAAAGTGAAAATTTCCATGCTTGGGATAGTCGTTACCACGAAATGATTCTGCAGTCTCATTCAATGGTTGTATTTAAGCAAATATGATATTAAACGAATTTTTCTTTAAGCTGAAAAATTCCCTCAAGTAAAAAAAAAACTAAAACTGTAATTTTTGCTTAAATAAAAAAAATTGCTTAAATCAAGATCGCGTAAAAGGTTAAAACTTGAAAATTTTAAAACTACTTTATGTTTTTCGTTACAAATTTTCCAAAAAAATAAATTAAAAAGAGGAAGATTTAAAATATAAAATCGATTAGAAACTAAATTACAAAATTTTAAAACTGAAAAACTTAACTAGTTAAAAAAATTGCACCTAGATTTTTTATTTTTATTTTTTAAGTCTCAACTATCATTATTTTAAATGAATCATCAAGGGATGAGTAAGGAAGTGAATGACGCGGACAGAATACAGAGGTGCCACGTAAAGAAAGAAGCCATATTCCGGAAACGTGTAACCCTCACCCATCTCTTTTTGTTTCCCAAACGCAAATTGGTTCAGTTTGTATGTAAAAACACTGCTTCGCTTCTGTTGTCTCTTTCCAAACTCTGCGAACTTGACAGAGCAGGCGATTTTTATTCAACAATATATCAAGTGGAAATGGAAGAGAAGATGGGTTCTTCTTCTTCAGCCCCTTTATCAAATCACAAGAACACCTCGTGGGTTTCTCGCCTGAAGAAGAGTTGCTTATCTTTAGCAGCTTCCATTCAGGAAAGCTTTCGATACGTAAAAGCATTTTTTGTTGGTCAGGTTCGAAATATCCAAACACGACCTTTCCATTTATTTTTATTTTTTTTTGGTTTAGTACTGATTTCAATTTGATTATTATTTGGTGTGGAAAAACAGGCAAAGACTATTACTGCAAGAAATGAGAAGGAAGCAAGTGTAGCTGAACTTGAGGCTACCAAGATGCAGGTTGAGGCTGCTGATGCTGCCGAAGATATCAAGAACAGACTCAATAAATCCGCGTAACTTTTAGCTTTTCACTAATTACGACCAAATTTCTCTCCCTTTTCTTCTACTCGTGCAAAAGGAAAAGTGGGAAACAAATGTCCTTTTGTCGCTCCAATATATCTTTTTTTTTTTTTTCTGGTTTTGTTGAACATAAAATATTGTTAAGTGTGAGTTAATCCGAATTAGGATGCATTTGATTTGGATAACTATCTATCTATTTATAAGCTTCTTTTTTTCCAGTAAAGATAACTTACGTAATAGGTTTTGAATATGAGCCTGATTCAAAAGTAAGAAAAAGCGATTGGGCTACTAGCATGTATTAAAATTTTTGGATGAGCTTGTACAAAAGCCTCTATTTTTTTTTTCAGGTTTTAGAGATTAAATAAATAGAAAAGTGAAATTTGATTCATTTTATAAATTATTTTTTATAAATATTTATTGACAAGTTTGAGCTTTAGTTTTAGATTTAAAACCTCCTAGCTGAAATAATTTTATTTTAATTAGTTATAATAAGATGTTTATTAAAATTAATTAAAAATAATTTATAAATAAAAGAAGTTGAAATGAAATTTATAAGCTGTATTCACGACTTTTAAACAGTTATTTAATAGGATAATTACTCTCTAATTTTTGATTGATTTTAAACATTAGCTTTAGTCTCTCTTTTTTCGTTTTATTTTCTTTCTCAAGATCAAGATGGCTCTTTTTCCTAAGTACACCTGTCATGTACCTAACATTGACAAGATCATTTTTGACAAAACTTATCCGCAGTTGTTTGTGTTAGTTTTATCCGACTTTTTTTTGCATGTTTGTCCGATCATTAACTCTATTCATGAAAGATTAAAATTTCTTTCTATCTTGAAATTTAATTCAAGAAATGATCCATAAATTATTTTTTAAAATTAAATTTTAAAACATATTAAATTATATTTATGCAATTTAATTTTTAATAATAATAAAAAAGTCTAAGGGGATGCAAATAAAAAAAAATGGAAATTCCGGAAATAAATTCTCAGAATTTAGTGGATCAAACCCATTTACAAGTGTTTTTTAGTTTATAATGTCTGACGATCCTTACACAAGAAAAGGGATCACCCAACAATGTTTCAAATGCATAATTATTACAAATCATGCTCACTCAAAAACCAAACCAACAACTCTTTTAACCATGCCCACTACATATCAAACCACTTACAAGTTTGCAAACAAAGAATAAAGCGGCTCCTAAGTATATTTGTGGGCCAAGCAAAATGGAACATTAAGTGTAATGTCCACAATGTATGATATACTAAAGTCCAATGTCGAAGTTCATATATTTACGATACAAAACAAGACACGCAAACAACATTGTAAATTTGTGATTGTAAAAGGTGTTGTAGTAGGTACAAAGAAGGGTCATACTGAATTGGTTTTTATGAGAAGAAAAGGGTTAGGGCCTTCTAAACGGATATAGTCATACATAATCCCCTGGAAGAGGACCAAGGGGCCAGTAGCCATTGCCTGTGTTAGGAATATAGTATTAAGGCCTTTCACTAGCTGAAGATATGGCACATCAATACTGAATAGCCAGTAGAGTCCATGAATCCCATGTCTAGCGATTGCATTGTCCTTCCCAATCACTCCCGTAGTAAATAGTGGAGGATCTTGGTTTTGATCATTCACTCTAACCTTCAGTTCCAAAACCAAAATATCAAACGATGAGACGAGAAACAAATTAATGTTAAATCACACAGCATATTCATGGTTACCCGGGAGAGCAAATAATTTATTTTTGTAGGGTTTGTTTAAATTACTTTATGGGTGAATAATTTTATGTCAAAATTGTATTAATTTTTTATAGATAAAATTTTATTTGTTTACTTAAGATTAGTCTATGTAGGATGGAGTTAATCATTTTATGAGAAAACTTAGATAGATCATTTTTATAAGGTGCCAAACCTGTAATTCGGAGACATTTGCACTTGCTAGTGCCACTCGCAATTTGTAGATTCCACTCTCCTCCACGTTATCGAGGTTGAACTTAATTTGCCACGTAGTTCCTTGATAACTGCCATCATTTTTCTTCCTGTATTTCATGCACTAAGTTCATCTTTCATGAATAACATAAGGTGCTTTTAACGAAAGCAATTCTATATATTGTCTTAAAAGAGTGTACCGGGTGACTTGTGCAAAGAACCAATCTTCGCTATAGTCACTGACACCAACAGTATAAATTAAATCTTCATTTGGGTATAAATCTGCATATCTTTCCCACAAACCATACTGCCTAAACCTGTGTCAGCAGTTAACAAGACTTGAGAAATAGATGGTTTTGGAGCACAAAGTTAAAAAATGTTCACCCTTTTAAAGTTTAATTTACTATTCATGTAAATAGGGACTCACTTATCTGGATGGTCGACAAAAAGCTTATTTATGTACTCTGGATTAGGATCAGGAACATAGAACCCTGCAGCAGAGCGATCAGGAATGCCTATCTCCCATAATGTAGGACCATCTCTTGGAGGCTCATAAATAATGTCACCAACGTTTATTTCACAACCTGCATATTGCATTGTTATAGTGTTTAACAACCATGGTATGAAATATAAACAAGTGATATAATGGCTAAATTCACATTGAATGGGGATAAAGATACTTTTATTTATGTACTTTATGTGGCAATTTTTAAAAAATAAATTTAATTTTAATACTATAAAGATTTTAATGTTATCAATTAATTAGAAGTTACTTTAGGTATAATTTTAGTAATTATTATAAAGTTTAATATTTTAATTATTCAATAATTTATGATTAGACAACATTATAAATTTTTATGTATTTAAATTAGTTTTTTTTAAAAAACTTTTTCAGTAAAAATTAGAGCCCATATCTATAGGCACATCATTCCTCTTCTCTCCCAATGAAATATGATGGTCGTAACCTGGGGTTATGGTGAGGACAACATTGTTCCAATACTCTCCAATGAAACCTGGAACCCACGCGTAGAGATTGTATTCTCCACTACGAATATTATTGATTGAGAAGTAGCCTTCCTCGTTTGCTCTAGTCCAAAACTGGTATCCCTGACCAAACAAAAAGGCCTTGAAATATGAAGTTGCTGCCCAATTACTTCTTGTATTCGTAAATCTTTAGTGTTTGATTATTAAGCCAAGAGCAAAAAGAAATTGAACCCAGATTTTGGGGTGTTTAACAAGCATGTGCTTGTGTAGTTTAAACCTTGCATTCTCTTTGCCAGGATCCAGCTTCTCCTGGTGGTGCCAGTCCTACGTATGCGCCTTCTGCTAATATGTACTCGTTACTTAGGCACCTGAAAATTTGACATTTTGTGAGCTTTAAAAGATGCATTTTCACAGTGACACTGACAACTATATATATATGGAAAACGTTTGTTGACAACAGAATAGGACAGTTAAAAGTTGCCTCTTTTGATTTTGGAATGTATTTTTAGACGAGTGTATGTAAAAAAAGATAAAAAAGGTAAGAGATAGATATAATTATAAAGTATGTAAATTGTGTTAATTTTTAGATATTCAAATATGAAACTGTATGAAGTTTTATCTGTTTAAATTTCTAAATAAGTACTTATACAAGAATGAAATAAGAAAAATGAATTGAATTATTATTTTTATATTAAAATTAATAAATTAATTCATCTATTTTGAGCGAAGCTAAATGAAAATTTTCCTGAAAAAGAGAATATAAGTTTATTTTAATTTATAAAAACAGTTTAAGTCATTATCCTCTTTCATTTTAAAATTTTATAAGTACTTAGTATAAATATTGGGACTTCGATGTTACCTGTCTTGGACTAGTAAAGTGCCACACACACTACCCCTTTGGCCAGACTTTTGAAAATCCTCCGAAGCTGGAAAGTCATAGGGCCAACTTTGAACCTCCTCGTTCATCTGAAGACCATATTTGGTGCATAGTGTAAATTCTTGTTATATAATTTCCATTACCCAAGTTTAATAATTTGATTATGAAATTGAAACCTGATATTTGGCGTCTTCCCAGAGCTCCAGTGGGTCCCCACCATCCAACAAACTGTTGAGATAAACAAAAGTTGGTCCAAAAACTTTTTTCCAAGGCTCATTTGGTTGAAGTTTGAGAACTATATCCTCTCCTGCGTAATGAGCACTAAGAAACATCTGACACATACAAAATTATTTAAGCTATTTGTTTGCAGCTGATTGATATGAATAATGATCATAGTTTTCATTAAAATTAAGCACTCAACAAAGGATATTAATGGGTACAAGCGAGTTGAGTTCATGCTTCACATAAAAAAATACTTACGGCGAGGCTTATTGGGCCTACGTGAGAGGTTAAGTTCTGCTTAACAAGGCCACCTGATCGGAACTCATTGCTTGGTATGATTACCCAGAACCCCATTGCTGAATCAGTTTCGGGTTGGGAACTTATCCATCCATGGACCTTAAGATCTTCGTTTTCACTCGAGTATTGGTACTTGTCATCCACCTTAATCAGTCAATAACAAATGTCATTAACCACAAATAAATTGTTATGAGTAAGGGTTGATTTGCTCAAGTATTCTTTATAAGTTGTAAAATACTTGGTCCATATGTATTTAAAAAATGCTTATGGACAAAAAAAATGGTAAAAATACTTATAAGTATTAAAAACAGTCAATTTTATAAGTATTAATTTTTTAGTGCTTATAAAATTGAGTCTTTTTTAAAAATAAAAAAATAGTTTGATAATTTTTTGTAGGCAAAAACTATCGGCATGAAAAAATTAAAAAGTTACGGTGCATTTTTTTTCTTATTTTAAAAATAAACAACCATGCAGATTGTTTATCATGTCCGTATTTTAATAGTTGCACATGTCTAAGTTACCATTTGGAGTAAAATAATTCTATTATAGACAAACTAATAAGATTTTGTTTAAAAAATCAAAATAAAAAGTTGATATAATTTTTAATACAATATTTTAACTTTATTAATTTCCTTAAGATGGGATATTTTACTTCATAGAGTAACTTAGACAATTTTTTTTAAAAGAAAATTGTACCTCTCCTTTAAACTCTGGCTCCACGGGATTGACTAGCAAAACTGCTTCAGGGGGAACTAGTTCTTTTCCTCTTCCGGGTAACCGGTCGTCTGGGAGAGGCATAAATCTTTGTCTATTATCCGAAACAGCCATGTAATGAAACCTACATAAATAATCTCTAAAGTAATCTATGCAGCAAGCTAATTTGCACCTTTTTGCCAAATATAAGTTGAAGTCAATAAAGGGCACCAAACAAGATCCCTCCACAAGAACATTTAAGTATGAAAATGAAGAAATCTAAGGGTATATATTTCATAATGTTACAAGGGGGGTTTTCCATACATGTCTTTTCGAAGCCTATAAACAATCCTGATTTGAGGTATGTTGAAATTAGGCCACTCCTTTAGGTGTTCAAAGATGGCGTAAGAGTAGAAGCCCGAGGAATTACGAAGCATCACATACCTGTAGAAAAATTGTTTTAAGTGTAATTTCTTAATCATCGTATTCATGACTGATTTCAATATTAATTAGTTAGCAACATATGTAATGGTACCTTTTGTCGATATTTAGAGGTGCTCGCTTTCCTTTCAGAGATGGATCCCACTCACTTGTAAATGAGATTTCAACCTGTTCCTCATTTTCAGTTATTACATTAAAACTTGTCCCAATAATCCTGCATTTGATGACAGAACACCCAAGACATCAACTACATTACAGCCATAGTGCACACATTTTGGTAAGTAACATTTGGCTTAGAAAAAAATGAACTTAGCTTATGAGGGAATTTCCACATACTTTTCAAATGTCCCAGTTGTTCCTGTACTTCCGGCTTCACTCCATACAACGTCCCAATACCTATGAATCAATTATTTAACATAACCATAAGTTAAAGTCTCACAAAAGGAGTATTTATAAGAGCTTAGGAAGACTTCATGAAAATAACTTATAGCTTCTATAATGTCAATATACTCTATTAGTTTACTTTAATAAATTTTATGGTGAAATTTATAACATAAACTCTCGTGTAAATAGTATTTATTGAATAAACATTTAATAACTTGGATTCTCAATCGCATCCTAAGAACATCAGATCTGATTCTCAGTGAGCACATACTCTCTGTCACCACTTTTGTTAAGAGCTTCAAGCAGATTATCAATGCCATTATATTGTATTTTAGTAACAAATCCACCTGGATTGGATAAAAACACTTGCAGTATGCCATTGTCCATAACCACCTGAGATTAGAAATTCAACTTGCCATAAGTTCAGAATATTAATTATTTCGAAACTTCAAATAGAATGAAGCAAATAATGTCTTACTTGACTGTCTTCGACGCGTAGCTGCACTGCTTCTGAGGCCATGGTGAAGGGTCTTCCTCAGTTCCTATTTCTAGTCACACTATATTTTTGCTGTAGTTTGTTTTATTTATTTGTCGTGTTATGGCGGAAGTTCTGGAGGTTAAGAGTCTTGGGTCTGGTTTTCTTGGACTAAAGGCCAAGCACTTTTTTTTATTTCTTCGCCCTTTTTACGCTCAATTCTTTACTCAATCAATACTGTAGCCGTGCACGTTTAGCATTGTGACTTATTGTTAAACAATTATTAGGATATTAAGCAATTATTTCGTGACTTAGCCCATAGTTTTGTTATATGGGTCACGTGATGCTCTCAACAAACATCACGAAATATATGTTTGATGTCAGGAACTTCTAAGATGACCAGGAAGTGGTATCTTATTCAATATCTCAAGTTTTTCTATTTGTTTTTATTATTATGATTATTTATTTTATGCTTAAAAATACAAATAAAAAATTGCATGCAAATAAATTTTTATTAAAAATCATAGAATTTAATGTTTTGATATTATTAAATATAATATAATTTATAATTTTTTATTTATGTTCTTATATATATATATAATAATAAAAAAAAAAGTTGCTTTTATAGTAATATATTTAAATTAGAGTATGTAAAATTCGATTTTGAATAAACTTAATTTTATTGAATTAATTTTGTTAACGGAAGATCACTTTTAGAATTATAATTATTAATATAAGCAGGTAATGTATGTTGAAATAATAATATAATATTAATGACAATAATTTTTTTTAATGTTCAGTTTATGTTTTTTGAATTAGTTATCAGTTTTATTATTAACTAAGCTATTTTTACTGGAGTTTCTAACTTATATAAAATTTTATTTTATTTTTTAATTAATAAATATACATGTATTTTGTACAAGTTTGTAAAGGTATATTTTTATTAGTTAGCTATATTTAAAAATAATTATAATTTAAATATAAAAAATAAATATTTATTAAATAATCATTAAATAATTATTTTAATGTAAAAGAAAAATTAAAAAATTAATTAATAAAATACATTAAAAATGTTTGAATGTAAAAAAAAGATTAAAAGGATAAAAGATTCTAATTAACTTTTAAAATAAATAATATATAAAAATTAAATATAATAGTCAAATTTAATTTAGATTTAAAATATTATATTTTATTTATATATTCATTTATCATGATATAAAAATATTAAATATATAAATAATAAACTATATTTATTTTCTGAATAAATTACCATTCATTGTTATGATATTTAATTTATTTTAATTATTATAATTAATTAATTTTAATTTGATAATTTTAAATTTATTATCATTATTATAACAGTTAATAACAAATAAAATATTACAAAAATTATTAAATATAAGCTATTATTAAAAATTTATTTAAAAAATTTAATTTTTTATCATAATTATAATATAAAATATAAATAAAATATCTACACATATCAATTCTTATTAATTTATTTTAAAATATTAAAATAATAGCAGAAGAGAAAAAAAATAATTAACAAAAAATTTAACTAAAAATTAAATAAAAACTATAAGAAAAGAATTGTTTTATTTAATATAAAAATTATTATTTGTATCAATAAAAATGGCAACATGTAGTATAAAATATATTTTTAAAATTTAAAATATGAATATATATGATATATTAATTTTATGATATAATTTTAAATGATATAAATTTATACTATTGTGAATTAGATTAATTAAAAAGATATTGAAAAATTTGATATAATTTAATTAATTAAAAATAAATTCTAATACATAATATCACTTAAAAATAATATATTTTTAAAAAATATATTAATTACTTAGATAAGTAACTATTTATCGTTGACAAGATTATAAAATAAAAAAATAAAATAAAATAGTAAAAAGAATAGTTAACATATTTTCAAAAGTTATGTAAATATTAATTATATAAATGAAAATAAAATTCTATATATTGATATATGAATATTCAGAAACTGAAAAATTAATGTAATAAAATTTATTTTTTATTTGTATTATAATTTATTTATTTTTTGTAAAAAATATAATTTAATAATATACAATATAAAAAAATAATTTTATAACTGTAATCTTTTATATTTGAAGTACATTTTAATTTTTAGTATATATTTTTAAACATATAATATATTAATAATTAATAAAATAATTTAAATTAATATCATTCAAATTTAAATAAGACTTAAAGTAATGATATGATTTTATTTTCAACTATTAAGTTACTTATAATTGTGTAAGTTTTTGCAAGGTTATTTTCATATAATTTAATCAATATTTATTTTATATTTTCAACAATTTATAGTGAATTTTTTTAATTTTTTATTTAATAAATTTTAATATTATTTTAATGAATGTCATTCATAGCAAATTTGTTAGTCTCTTTTAATATTGTATAATCAATAATGTAAAATTTTATATACAATCAATTTTAATAAATTTTTCTTAAAAATAATTTAAATATAATAAATATAAATCAATTATAATTTTAATTTTTAAATTATATAAAATATTGTAATTAATTTCAATAAATTTTAATTAAATGCAACATAGTAAATTTGTGTATATTTTATATTGAGATAACTTTTAAAATATGTAAAATATTATAATTGATTTCAATAAATTTTGATTAAATACGATCCAATGAATTTATTTATATTTTATATTTTGTAGTGAAATAATTTTTATATTTTTAACAATATACAATTCAAAATATTTTAAACTTTAATAATTATAAATTTTGTTATACAAATTATTTATCTAATTTGTCAAAGTTTTAATTTAATACATTAAAGAATATGTCACACTTTAAAAGACTCGTGTAACTTTTAAAAGAGTAATTATATTTAAATTTATTTTCTTTCACAAAACTTCAAAGTTATTATAACTTTCATTGATTTCTATTGTTTGCCCTTCAAGATTAATTAAAATGCTGGTTAACATGCAAAGTTAATATTTTAGGTGTCACCATAATACTGCTGTGGAAATGTTATTAATGTCTACTAATGAGAGAGATTAATCTGATAAACATCTTGAATTCGTAGACTTAAATAAAGTTTGATTAAATTAGAGATGAATTAGAAAAGGATTTACAAAATTAAGAACTAAAGTGGCAATATATTTTTTTATTGTAAAAAAAATTATATTTGTAAATGGATATCAAAATCATTATTTCAATATAAATATTCTGTAATTCAAATTAGTTTAAAAAACAAGTGCATTAACTATATTCAACATTCAAAATCAAGTTTATCAAAATTAATATTACAAACAATGCGGGCAATCATATTGCCAAAAATTCCATTGTTTATTCCCTCCAAATTCCAATGCCGTATGACCCTCAAAACGTAATTTTGCATGATGGAAATGCCTATCCAAAAATGATAAGTAGAAGAATTGAAGTTCTCTTCCTTTTCTCACATGGAACGAATGTGCGCTGTTCTTTAACTTAGAGCTAAAGTGAGCGAGAAAAGGAACATATTCATAAACGGAAAAGAAAAGCTAAGAGCCTTTGTCATTGCTTAACAAATAGAGGATAAGCCAATAAGCTAAAAGAGGTTGATTAACTTGCAGGTCAAGCTAATTCATTTTGATAAGAGAAAACAGGAGAAAAATTTAAAAATTTAAAAATAAAAATAATTAAATTAAGAATAAAAATCATTAAATTAACTATGACTAAAATTTGTATTTTTTAAATTTTAAAATTTTTTTAACAAAAAATAAGAAAATGTATTAATGAGAGTATCGCAATATTTCTCTTTAAAATATGAGAAGAGTAGACATGAAATTCATGTGAGATTAGAATTGTGCTTTTAAATATTTGGGTATAGTCTTTTGCCACCTAAGTTTATGACTTTCTGCTTAGACTGTCTCCTCTATGATCAACTAAATCACGTGGGAAACTTTTCACTTTATTTTCAAATCTCATGGTCACTCGTGACTCACTATTTGTTGTTGTTATATGCTGACATCTGATATGGATCCCAGTAGTTGCTTTTGTATCTTTATTTAAGAAAAATCGTCTTTTCAAATAAACTTATTTAAAAATACTAATGTAACTTGCATATTACACAAGAATAAATTTTTGTATGATTGGAACACCGGTTAATTAATATTTGACATGTATTAAAATTATTTATACTAAGTATTGATCGGATTATTATAAGATGCAAAAATTCTTCTACTATAAGAAAGGACTTTCTCAAAAGGACAAACAAAAAATTATTGAAAGAAAATTTTCACATGTGCCAACAAATAGGAAAGGAAGGATTTGAAATATTTATAATTTTGTTTGCCTTGCCGACCACTAATTTTTATTTTTTCATTTATATCATTTGAATAAATATATGATATTTGCCAAGAATTGTCCTCAGCAAATCGTTAGTTGTCATCTTTGTAATGTAGAGAAACGATTCCTTCTAAACGAATGTAATTAGAGAGAATTCCTTAGAAAGAACTTGTTTTTCTTGCTTGCTTTAGAAAGATGGTACATATCGCTTAGCTAGTTAGCTTGCACAAGAAGAGTGCTCTCTACGTCAACATTTAATGGTATAGTTGATAAAGCCCACAATATATCATCTTTTCACCAGATAAAACACACAGATACGTTCTCAATCTCATTTACTAAAAAGACCGAATGCAAGAGGTATCGAAATCGCCTGCCCTGTCTCTTTTCTGTATTTTTCAATTGAAAAATGATATGTGATTAGAATAAGTCATTAAAAACAAAATGAGAAATTCTTGAAATACAATAATAAAATAAACCCATTGAGGAGGGAAAATTCAATCACAGGAATATTTGAAAGAGTTGATGGAAAATTCATGATGGAAAATTCATGAAAATAACTTATATAATTTTTAATAGCTAATTTTAATTTATTTTAATAAAATTTTTAGTGTAACTTATCCTGTTAAACTTTTTTCAGAACATTATAAAAAGTTTTTAATTTAATTTATAACATAATTTCTTATATAATAAAAATTTATTAAAATAAATATGTAATTAAATTGTATTCTTAATTGCACCCTAATGCTTTGTATGGATGAAATAGAAAATGAGTAGAAAAAAATTATGGTGAGAGAAAAATATATGGTAAATAAGATGGAAAAATGTGTTGTTTGGATTAATAGAAATACGAGAAAATAGTGAAAAAAATTTACTTGTTTGGAGGGATGGAAAAGATATTAGAAAAAAAACTAATTTATATATAAAAAATTTATAATAACAATAAAAAATTATTTTAATAAAAAATTTTAAAAATGTAATATGATTTTTATTCTTAATTATATAATTTTTTAAATTTATTTTTATATTATTTTAAAAATTATTTTCAACAAAATATAAAAATACAGAAAGATCACTTCTCTCTCTCTCTCTCACTTTTGCATTATTGTACTAAAATCTTGACATTGGAGGAATGATTATTTTTGTGTGAGCCTCACTTATTTTTTTTCTTTCTTTTTATTAAATGACAAAATATGCAAACAAACAAAATAATACTTTTACTACAAAAATAATGGATTGAAACAACGCATAAATGTACGGCGGGCAACGACATGTTGATAAGGATGATGCCACTTGATAGCCACCAAAATATTAAGCACATGGTGCAATAGGTTGTCAACACTCACATATCCATGTCTGTTGAGAATTTGATAGTGGAAAAATCACTTCAGAAAATAAAAGCTACGACATTAATTTAAAAATTCATAGTTGAAATTTAAGTAGAGAAAATTTCTGATTTAGGTTTTTAAAATAATAATTACTGATTTTTTAATCTTTATTTTAATCTTTTGAAGACTTTGTCACTAAATTAACCTCTTAAAGAATTAATTCATCAGTAAATTAAAACCTTATTTTTTTTTACCAGTTTAGTCCTTCATTAAGACTACCATAATATAAACAAATTAAGGGTTTTCAATTTAAATAATCGCATGATTTATTAGAATTTAATCCTAATACACCGTTAGCATACTTTTTTAACATTGTATATATATTTTATTTAAATTCAATTTATATATTCCCAACTCTACTATTCATTTTAGAACCAAATCCATCTTAAAATGGTATTACAGTGTTCTCTGATTCTGTCTGTGGGGCAAATCTCTGCATGCAAATTAACAGCCATGTTAGGCATGCTGGTTGTATGGCACTCAGACAGAGGTTACAAATGACACCTTACAAATGCTTTAACGATCATGATACAAAAATAACACACGGTCAAGGACTTTAACAGAATTCTACGCAGTGTTCAATGTCTAGATATTACCGTATCAGAACAAATAAAAAAAGGAACAGAAAATTTCCTACAACTTTCAAAGATTTGCATCAAATGCAGAACTAGTTATTTTCAATGAAGTATATAACTAAATATATATGTTTATATATAATGACAATGCCGGTAATTATACGACTTCTGATGCAGGGGAATGGGTTATACAGACTACGCAGATTTGCAGGATCCTAAAATAGTTGGCTTTTTTGCATGCTAATGCACATCATTGGGCTCTGCCTTTCTCTGCAGGAAAAAAGATCCCAGTATGACTGCAATACCAGTGATGGCTATTGTGAAAAGAAGACGTTTAGTTGAGAACTCATTCTGCTGCTGCCTTCTTGGAGCACCTTCCTCTCTCTCTGTCTCAGCATCCCTCATATCCCTTCACACAACACACAAGAATATAGCTTAATTATAAGTAAGTTGGGAACCATGAAAAAGGATAGAAATGGATTGTTTCATAGGCATATCATAATGCTAACTTAAGAAATTCATTTCCATCACAAACATTTCTTGAGAGATTCTAAATAATGAAATTTACTTTAAAATATTAGTTAGATGTCCTCCCCATTGTAAAATTATGAGGGAAATCAAATATTATGCAGACAGATGATAATTCCTTGTTCAATAACTTCTTGTAGCATGTCAAAGCTATCAAATTACTATTTTATCCACCTAATGAATATAGGCTCAATTTCTCACAATACCATCTACTTTGTGCCCCAATAGTAGCAAGTTTTTTTCGTCCAGTTTTACTTGGGAAACGTGCACTATGCGTGTAAGAACAGGGTGACATCATGTCACACACAACTACTAAATGAAGAGCCTTTGTTACCCTCCTGTAAACGTACATCTTACACTCATCTAAAATAATAAAGTTACTGCAGCAGCAACGGAATGTTTCTTTATGATGCTAATTAGGGCTTAAAGGCAATGAAATTCACAAAGTTAATTTCTGCAGATTATGCCATTATGTAGGTCAGGTTTGCAATTAAGCTCCACCTTCATAACGAGGCCAAAGGATTCATGTTAACAGTGTAATTAACTAATTATTAACATAAAGCCCTAACTGAATAATCTTGCTGTATCCACAATCTACAAAAGCCATAAGATGATTGTACTAGTCATGAACAAACTCTCCTAAAAGCGGTGAAAGCACATCAATGGTTTCATATCCTCATGCACAAGTTCTTCAGGTTAGAAGCATGGAATATGCATAGGCCCACGTTGCCTTTTGCTAAAATTTAACTTCTATTTAGAAGATTGGGGGGAAAATGATCAAATTCTAGAGACTACATAGTTATAAAGTCTCTGATACATTGTAGTCAGAGTACCAAAGAAAGCAAAAAGAGCTAAGGCCGTTTTTTGAGGTTTTAGAGACAATAGAGGAAAGGTCCAATGCGGAAGCCATGCGATGTGACTGGAGTCCCCCTAGAACAAAAAAGGAGAAGGCAGACGGACAAACAAGAAGATTTTGAGAGAGATACTGAACATAAAAACAGATTTGAACAAAGTTGACTATAAACAAGGGCACCAAGGACCCTGGTACTTCAACAGGGGTAAACCTCATCTCCAACACCTAGAACAAGACAAAGAGAAGCCAGTGGGCAAAATGACTGGTGGTGTGACAATAAAAAACTGGGAATGTGAATGTGAGCTACATGTGCCATCAGGAAAGGATGTGTGATAGGGTGCATGATGGAGCCATCAATGACGTAAGTCAGAGGAAAGACCAATTAGAGACTTGTAAGACAGGATTTTCCCTGGATATTGGTGGTTTAAGGCATGGAGATTGGAGATCAATGATCCTGCCTTGACAGTGGCAGCTGGAATTGTGAGACTAGGAATTTTCAACCGAAGATGACATCAGAGCTTTGATGCCATGTCATGACCAAATTTCTGTAAAGTTTAACCAATTTTGTGGAGGCACATAGATGATTTTACATTAAATATAATTGATATCCATATGCAAGCATGTAAGTTATACCTAATTGCTTCTACCCATAATAAAAAGGTTGAAACATCCTAATCACCAAAAATTAACATTTAACTTTGGAAATAATGGTAATTTTCTAGAAGCAATATAAGCATAGAAAACAAGAATTAACCTTAGGAGGTTCAATTTTTTGTTGTATGAAATGCTCCAGACTAACTTGCCTAAAAGCTTAAGCTTTTAAATGGGAGGTTCAATATTGGTTTTATATTTCAAATACACCCTTTCACGCAAGATTCCTTTGGGCTTTATGCATGAATAATCCATAGACCCACTCTACCCTGCGGTAAAATTCAACTTAATCATGAAGAATGAGGTGACAAGGGAAAAAAAAACTCAGCAGTCATGACTACTTGTCACAGAGGTTCCAACACCATATCAAGGACCAATACTCCTTACAACTAAACTGTTTAGTGAACCCTCAAGATTGGATTTATATCTCTAACATGAAAAGAGTAATCAACAGTTTACGTTAAAGCTTAAAATGGAGCTATGCCGCTCCACTCCTAACACTACCAATCAAACAGTGCAATCATGCACTTACCACTTGGGATACACAAGCATTCCTTAACACATGCAATTAACATGTGTGGCCCAAAATTAGAAACAAATTGAAGATAATTGGGATGCACAATCATTCCTTAACCCTCAGAATGGTTGGTAACAATTGAAACAAAAATTTCAGAGATGTATGCATAGTGAGAAATAGATAAGCATACTATATGAGAGACAGAATGCAGGATTTAGTCTATGAACAATAAGCTACACTTCAACAACTGAGAAAATAAAAACATAATTAAAAATTAATTACAGGTTTTGTTCATAAAAATGAAAGCATTTCTAACCTTGAAGAGCCCACAGAACTATCTTGGATGCCATTGCATCGAGCTTCATGACTGAATCTTTCACGAAGTCTGACATATTTGTTACAAAAGTGACAATGCTCTGTTCGATTCCCACATACTTCCTGAAGGTATAAATATCAAATTGAGATTTGTGAAAAAGCCTATAAAATCTTTCTAATTCTAAAGTTCTTTTAAGCAATACCTGGTGCTCAGCTAGATCAATTGCTGGCAATGGAAACTCACAGAACTCGCAAGTGACAATCCTTTGAGGACAGTTTTCACCTTTATGGATATCTAAAATATCACGCTCCATTGTTTCACTGCATAATGAACAGGAAACCTGCACAAATCCACACTTTTGTTTTAGAACTGACATAAAATGGATTTTAAATCTGACACTGTTTCAGTGCGCCAATGAGGCTGGGTCTCGGGGGGAGGGGGTATGCCATCTTAAGGAGGGAGGTGGCAGACATATAGCCAGCTTACCTAACTATTTCATTGCCAATTTTGGGTGCTTTTAGCCCTAACATATCTAGTGAGCTAGTATTCCAACTTCTATTTTTCTTCCCGTTTCTCCCTTTAATGATATGGTCAGTTCTTTCATTACAAGCTCTTATCAAATTTCTTTATAGAAAAGATAGTTTTAAGCATCCACAGTCATGCATCATAAAGTATCCATAATACAGTCAACTGGCACAAATAATTGCAAATTTTCCATCAAATTCTCATTCCATGCATGACGCCTCATAATCCGCAAAAGAAGGCAAAGAGCCACATTTTCTGAATAAGGGAAAATAAAAAAGCCGTAATAAAGCTATTTTAACAAATTGTCATTATATCTTAGTTCACCACACCTTCACTATACTAACGGGGCATAGGTAAATTATCAAATATCCAGCAGCCCGTCCATCCAGACAAATCATACATAAATCCTAACCGATCTATGTAATTAGGAATTAGTTTTTAATGGACTGGAGTTATTCAGTCCAATTCATTTTTAGGGGGGGTTGAGGATGTAATAAACCATTGCACTGTTAAACAGAAGCAGTTTTCAATTTTCTACTCTTGCCAATGCTTAGAACTTTGAACGTAGAGGTCAGCATTTGTCTTTACAATTTGATTTGGCTTGAAATTAGGCAGTTAAGAATCTTTTGCGTATCTACCAGAATTACTATATTCCATTAACACAACGATTTCATAACCATCCTTATGCCCAAGTAACACGAACTCATATATTTATCTCAGTATCTACAAAATTTGAACCCCAGAAAAACAAAGGCAAAGGCGAACAACACAACTTCACATACCGGTGCATGGGTGCTTAAATAGTGATCCTCTGCATTCTTTCTGGGAACCATATCACCGCAAATTTTGCATTTTTGAAGGTTCCGGGAGCAATGAGCATGATGCAAATCAATATTTGCAGCAGGAATAGCCCGGTCACTGAAATTGTTCAAAATAAGACAAACGATCATTGAGTTTCTGTGCACAAATCATAATTATGTATAAATTAGGTGCAACCAAACACTTCAACATTCACCAAAAATAAATAAACAAAAATCATACATGATAGTAAAAAGACAATAGTTTAAGAATTTGACACCAGCATAGTCTTTAACACCCTGCACTATCCTAGGAGTCAAATGCGAATGAAACTACCGTCTTATGCTTAACCACTTCAGTACGCCATTACGGAATTCATAACAAAAAAGAGATTAAGTGCTTCCATTTACCAAACAAATAATCCCAATTCCCCATAATTTATTTATTATTTATTTTTCGAAGAACTTATAAAAAATAAGCAATAATTTTTCCGAAATTAAGAGTCCAAATCTACGGCTAGTTTACATGTTTCGGGAATAATCTAAAATCATTGCAGAGAATTTGAGGCGTTTTACCAGTGAGTGCATATACTAGTGGCGTGATCCGACACAGCTTCCATCGCCAGCGATAGGACACAATCGTTCAACAAAGGATCGTTCTACGACAAAATTTCTGAAACCGAGCAAAGGCAAGAGACGAAGAGAGATTTTATTACAGAGATCTTATTACCAAAAAGAGGAGATTCGGATTATACAAGATTACGGGAGTTAGGTTTGTGGACAATTTCTGATTTCGCTGAACAAGGTTCGGTGGATCTTAGATTCCGTTTGTTTGTTGAGTGACCTTTTCGCTAGGAAGACTTTTTGGGACCCTTAGCCGAATGGATCCGATGATTGAAGACCTCAACTCGTTAAGATAGTAGATGTTGTATTGCAGTACTGCTTGGATCATTAAAAAAAAAAAAACAAAACTTAAATTCAGTAAATAAATACTACCTCATGTACTTTTTATAAAAAATAAAATAAAATATTTCATTAATCCTTCTTATAAAAAATAAATAATAATAAATTTAAAGTATTAATTATTAATTTTTATATATATATTTTTAATATTATTAATTATATAAATTATTAACTATAAAATTTAATATTACAAATATTTTTAGAATAAAATTTATATTTATAAAAAATATAAATAACTTAATTGCTTTCTATCATGAAGATTTAATCTTTTGTTTCTTATAATAAAGATAAAAAATAGTATTAAATATTATTAATATTATTTAATTAAAATTAGAGTTTTACTATAATTTATGTGTGTCAATTTTCAATACTTATTTAACTTTTAATGTTATTTTTTTAATTAGCACACTACAGAAATTCTAACTCTAACTCTTGCCTTTTTTTAATTACTTATTATTATTATTTTTAACAATTTAATTCTTTGAAGTATATTTAATATATTTTAAAAATTTTAATTAAAATTTATTTATAAATTATTTTTAGAATTTAATTTATAAAACATAAATACTTTAATTTTTTTAAAAAAAGATTTATTATAATTTTTAAAATTAAAATTTAAAAAATAAAATTGATATTATTTGTTAAGTTAAAAAGTTAAATAAATCATGAAAAATGATAACATTGAAAAGCATTAATTCAATTTCACGAACATGTGGATCATCGCCCCTCATAGAAAGAAAGTCATTTTATATACAAATATAAAATGACTTCCTTTTTATGAGGGGCAAGGATCCATTTGTTTGTGAAATTGCCATACAAAATAACTTTTTTTTTTATGAGAGACAATGATCCACGTGTTCATGAAATTAGATTATTGTATATAAAATGACTTCCTTTTTATGAGGGGCAATGATCCACTTGTTTGTGAAATTGGTATACAAAATAACTTCTTTTTTATGAGTGATAGTGATCTACTTGTTCATGAAATTGGATTAACGCTGCTTAGTGTTGCCATTTTTCATGATTTATTTGACCTTTTATGTTAACAATCATTATTATTTGAGAAACAGATCCTTTGTAGTTTGTGCGAGAATTGCAGCTTACATTTTCTTAAATGAATATGAATTTACTTAAACAAAAATAAATTGTCTCTTTTCTCTCTCTAAGCCCATCTCTGTTCTCCCTCCTCATCCCATCCACTTTCATCTATCTATTTCTTTCAACTCTGCTCCTTTTTTCCTTCGGCCCTTTTCCTGTCTTTTCCCTTCACTCTCCTTCTCTCCCCACTTAGCCTCCAACTTCCCCTCACTCTTCTCTCTCGCCCTTACCTAGTTTCCCTCTCCTTCATAACCCTCCTCATGCTTTCTCTTACCATTCTTTTTTGCTTAAGCGAAATATTTTATATTTCTTTAAATAAATTTTTCTAACTTAAGAGAAAATATTTTTTTTATGTATTTCATTTAAGTAAATCAAATTTCATTTAAGCGAAAATATATCGCAGGTGGTACTTTGTGCCCTTAGTGAATATCATTCATAACTTGCCTCATATATGGTATCTAACTACTAAATTCATTGAGTTGTTTCAAAGGATCAAAACGACCAGTTATTAATGGAATTCTTTTTTGACTATGTAAAATACTCATTTGGGCGAGGGCTTCCAAATAAATCATAAACTAAACCCATGTTGACAAATAACCAACTTGTAATGAATAGGGAAGGTATAGTAATGCTATGAACAATTTAGTATGAAATACTAGTAATAATGCAAAAGAATGTTCTCGTGTGCTTCTAGACATGTCAAACTCCACATGTTCTTGTATAGTCAAAAAGTGATTATTCGTGGACAAGTGTATCTATCAAAAAGTAATAAAATGGTTTTAAAATAAGTTTCTAAAACATCGTCCCATAAGTATTGTTTTTAATTATTAAGAATTTCTTAATTTAATTGTTTGAACTTAAAGTATATGAAATTAAATAAAATAAGGATTTAAATATGAAAGTAATTAAAATAAAATTAAAAATACCACAACCTTTGACAATAAACTAATCGAGAAGAACTTAGGACGTATAATTTTACCTTTACACTTTTTTATGTTCATTTTTAGATTAATTCTAATTCTTGTCTCCTTATGACTGCCAACCTCTTATATTAAATCTATTAATACCCAATGATCATGTAATATTAACATTGTTTTTCTTAAGCTATCACCTCCAATGTTCATGCAAAGTAAAAAGACGAGAAAACATAAAGAAATTACGAGCTGTTAATTTAATAACAATTGAAAAAAAAGAACTAAACTTAGTCTACTTAATCTTTTGTCTAGTTTTACTCTATATAATTATTAACTATATGTAGTATGGTTACCTACAATATAATTAATTATTGCATGTTTAAGAGTTGTCAATTCTAAATATACAAATATAATGCAATAGGATAAACACTAATCAAGAAAGGAAACATGAAATTATCATTAATCATAATGATCCCATAAAGTTATGCAAATGATTCACCATAACCCTAGCTATAAATTTAGCTAAACATAATCTAATAGAAAACCAACATAACAATAAACCAATCCATAATTATTTAAAAAGCAAATGCAAACTAGAGAAGTCTCCAATAGAAAAAGGATGAAAAGAGCTCTTGATCCCACGACATGCTCCTAAAGCTCCAATAGTTGTCAACAACTGGCCAACACTAAGATTGAAGATGTAAAAAAGTGAGAAGTGTGAAAAAGATGAGATGTGATGTATGAAAGATGCATAAGTTGTCACTTATGAGATTCCTTTTAAAGAATTTCAAAATCTTAATATTTCTTTAAAGTTAGACTTCTTGTAGGTAAACATTACTGTGCAAAGCAATATGCATGGTCGTGCATATAGTTGAAGCACTCACGTACTGACTATTAGAGTATAGGTGTGATGGCTACGAGAAAGCCATATTTTCCATCCCATTTGAGCCCAAAATAAACTAAAAAATATATAATTATGTCCTTTAATGCTAAATTGAATAATTAATATATAAATTAATATAAAACTCAAATAAAATAATAGTTACACATGAATATATAGGTTATAAAAGCATGTTAAAATACAGACTTATTAGGGATCGATTCCATAAAAGACAAGATTAGTAAGTCATAATTTACTAAAATGTAATCCTTATTAGATCGTCCATTTTTGTACCAATGGTGTCTTTTAAGTATACTGAATCAACATAACTATCATTCTTCTAACACAGCAATGAAAATTCACAATCAGTGACAAAATCTAAAGCTGGATAAGTTCTTTCTTCATTAGTTGTTTCAATGTATTCAATAAAAAATTTCTTAAAGTTTGAGCGTATAAAAAAAATTAGAATAATAGTCTAAAACAAGGGTTATTCTGTTGAATTATTAGTTTCGGACTAAAAACAAAAGATCTATTAAAATGTGAATACGACAAATTGATTTCTTATAATTCATAAAGAAAATTATCATATTTCTACAATTCAATTAGCTCTCAAACCTATAAACATACTTTATTGTGGTTATCCAAGATATTTTTTGTTCAAACTCTTTTTTTTTTCATTTTAAAGGATGAAATTGGTTTGTTGTCTAATAACAAATAACAATAATAGCATTAATAGATACTATTTGAAGACATAAAAAAGACAATTAATCTATTTTTTTAAATTAGATTAATTATTCTTCCAACATACCAAATTCAAAAGCTTCATTCTTAGTTGACCCCAAAAAAAAAATGTTCATTCTTGTTGGCCAAAAAGAAGTTCGTTTATGTTGACAAAAAAAGTTCATTCTTTTTCAACATCTCTCTCTCTCTCTCTCTATATATATATATATATTAGCATGGCCAATTTAATAAATTGTCATTTATCTTAAGCCTGATGTAGAGATTAGATGGCAAGTCCTTGAGAAATAAATTAAGTAATTTCTATCTTTACTTATCATATATTTTGCTTTTAAAATAAAATTAAGATTCATCTTAAATTTAAATACATGTATTTATTTACTATGTATAGTCAAAATTAGTTCTTTTCATTTTTTTTATTTGATATGTTCTTGTTTTGTAATGGATAAGATGACAAGCTAAACTAACTTTATTTGGTGATAAGAGTGATGGAGAGGTATACTTGGTAAGCAATTAATGTCTAACTAAGTTTTTCATAAATTTGAGTGAATGATGTAGATTGTTTATTATTGAATGATGGAATATTTATATAATCAAAGTGGATGCATGTTAAAAGATTAAGACAAACATGAGTCATAAGTTTTCTTGCCATGTCATTATAAAAATGTGGAGGTAGTATTAAGACATGTTATAGGAATGACTACCTTTAATTTAATCAAGAGAGACTTGGATATAAGTAGTATGTGACTCAAAAGATAAGAAGTTAATCCAATATTCTCCAATTTAGTTGGGCTAGGGCCTTAAGTTATTTTAGAATAATTTGTTAAGATCAAGTATGAGAGAAAATGAAGTCTTACATTGAATGAGAATGAAAAAGTTAAACAGTATATAAATGATAAGAACTCACAACCTAACAGTCTTAAAGTTTTGAGTTGGATGTGATATTTTGTCACTTGTGACCTATTAATATATATTCTAATGTTTTAAGTTCCTTGTGCCCTAACAAGGAGTATAAGAGCTAGAGCTAATGGTTCATCCATGTAATCATTTCATGGTGGATTTTGAGTGCTTTTATATTACCATAAATACTTGTAGTTAAAAAAGACTTTCAGAGTATACCTAATGAAAATAACTTGTACTTGAGGAATAATTTATTGAGGTCAAGTATGTATACCTAATGAGGTGAGTGATGAATTATGTAATTATATTAATAAAATACATTTATCTTTGTAATTATATTAATTAGATAAGTAAATATTTTACAAATATTCTATAATTATTGTTATTATCAATATAAATATATATTC